ATCAATAATTATTTAATAGAATATCTAATGCGCTTCACAACTCAGACAGCTCACAACACAACACAACACAGGTTCACAACATAGTTTCACGGCACTAGTTCACAACTGGTTCACAACACTGATTACAACACTGGTTCACTGAGCTCACCTAAGCCTAACAGTTGGTGGTCCATGTTCTTTCCTAGGTCCATGAGCGCTCAAGGGCTCTGAGAGGTCTCCGTCCTTCTGCTCGTCCTATGGTCAACTGACTACCCATCCCAGCTGCACCTTCGTTATATAGAAAATGCAGTCGAGGTGGTGGGGACGATTTTCGGCCAATGGGAGGTCACACCGACTCATCCGCCCAACGCTAGCTGTCTTAACGACACCCTGATTTCCGCTGGACAACAAGAGCACAGGATGTTCTTTGTGTCCGTTCCTAGAGCAGCGGATACCAGCATGGTCCAGTCGAGTCGGGGCATTTCTCCCAAAGCCCTAAAGTCGCGGAAAATATGGTCGTCAAGCGCCACTACAGGCGAGGGGACAGTGGGTGCACAATGTCACTACAGGCGAGGGGGCGAGGGCACAATACACTAAGATCGTGACGTATGCTTCCTTGTGCTCCCCCCCCCCCCCACTGCAGGAAATAACCACAACAAAAGTACACAAATTTCTGGCAAATTTTTTATCAGGAATTTAGTGTACTTTTCAAGTACAACAATTGTTGTACAAAGTACAATGGAACCGGCATGACAAGTGCTGTGCAGTCCAGGGCTCGTTGTGGTTTGTACAAGTCTCGTTGTACTTTCTACAATCCCTGTTGTACTTTGATTGTACAGTTTCTGTTGTACTTTTGTTGTACTATCTACACTTTTTCTTACAGTGCCCCCCCCCCCCGCATCCGCTATCCGCGACAGAGACTCCCACGACCCAGGGCCTATGAATGGCGCCCTACTCAGAACCCTTGAATTTTTTATTTCAATTACACTGATTACGGGTGATCGCTTTTTGATTTAAATTACAGTGTCGTTGTGTGATTCGACACCGAGCCACACAACATTCACCCTATCTTTCTAAAAAAAAAATTACATCGAGAGAAGTGATTTTTTTTTGTAAGGTTGATTCCAAAAAAAACAATTTTATTACAAAATATAGTTGACATAAAAATATAATAATCTTGTTGATTAGAAGAATAACACTTTGACACTTCAACAAGAGGCACAATATATTTAAAGTTGACATAAGAGTATTTTAAAAGAATAATATGTTGACACTTCAACAAGAGGAATAGTAATATAATATTCCTTTTTAATAATAATGTTTAGATATAATCATAATCTTTGGATTACTTATGAAAATTAGTACAAAAAAATATCAAAATACCCGTAGGACTTGGTGGATACCTAACGGTGGCAACTAAACCAAGGAAGGCTGACGGATACCTAACGGTGACAACTAAGTCAACCTTAGAATTATTCTTTAGACCATTGCCATCTTTGATGTCTGAAATTGAGGATAATTCAGTTGAGGAAGGTGAAGTAGAATTCCGCTTGGGAAAGCAAAAGCACATAGAAGTAGAAGACAGTTCGGTAGATCGACATTTGCGTAATTGTTTTATCTTCTTGTCAGTGCTTATATTTTTTGGGTTAATAGCTATATTTATACTGTCTATACTCTTACACGAGTGCTTAGCAGTCCGTCCAGGAACTAACATATAACTTTTGCATCACAATAGGATTCATAAAAGGAGTTTGATAAATGGCGGAAACACCACCACCACCTCCAGTATCCATTGTTTCTTTATATAATTCAGTTGAAAAGTTCTTTGGAAATGGTTCAGACGAACTCTCAGCTAGAGAGTATCTCGAAAATCTAGAAAATTTGAAAACTTTGGGAAATTGGAGTGAAGCTCAAAGTATTAGATAGCTACTACTCGTCTGCGTGGTACTGCTTGAGACTACATTAAGAGTCTTGGAGATTCTACTAAAATAAAGACTTGGGAAGGTTTTAAACAGGCAATTTTGAGTCGGTTTCAAATAGATGAATCTCATGTAACATTGATGCAGAAATTCTATGGCACTGTTCAGAGACCCAATGAAAATGTAAGAGAGTTTGGTCAACGTTTAGAATCTTTGTGTCAGAAGGCTTATCAAGCAGAAAACAACAATGATCCCTTCAAACAGGAATTTTATAACAATTTGTTGTTGACTCGATTCTTGTATGGATTCTTGTATGGAAGTATTCGTAAAACTGTCATGGTGACAAAACCAGAGGATTATCAGACAGTATTAACTCTTGCTGTATCAATGGAAGACATTGATAAATCTGACAAAGGGACGTCTTTCCCTATGCACTCAGTAGAACCTCGACCATATGTACTGCATCCAGCTTTTCCACAACCTCCTGAGCAAGGGCAAGGGTACCGATATTCTGCAGGCAGGAATAATGGTAACAGACAGAATTTTGGTTATCAAAACAACTCTCGCCAGAACTGGGGTAACTATGGCAACAATGGGCCTCGCAATAATATGTCTAAGAATAGGAATGGAGGAAACTGGTCGCGACAGAATACAGGTTATCAGAAACCTGCTGAAAAACAGCCCCAGCAGACACAGAATAGGGATGGAAGAAATTATCAGCCAAGGCAGGGGAATCAGAGTGCCCCTCAGCCTCGCGAAGGCATTCGCTGTTACAGTTGTAACATGCTTGGGCATATTAGTAGAGATTGTAGGACGTTCTTTCCTTCGGTCTCTTCGCCGTTACGCTAACCGTCCACTTCCCGCCACCCCGCTGCCCCGCCATCATTTCAATGACGGCTATGAACTCCCAATTAGCACAAACGGATCGGTCCCCACCGGGACTCCCCGCGCCCAGCACCCCGCGCCAACAAGCCCCGCACTGATGACCCCCATGACGACTTCGACAGCGACGGACGAACACGGATATTCGGTCCTGATGCACGAATAGGCAAAGGGACGGCCATCTTGGAAACACCCTGCATCTGCTGGTCAAGGGATGCGCTGACCGCCAGCACGGCTTCAGTCCAGAGGTTGACATCGCCGTGTCCAGACGTCCTGCTGCTCCGCTCCAGCAGTGCCTCGTGCTTCCACAATCCAGTGCAGCCCGCTCGATCCGCTCTCGACAAGACTTTAGTGCACAAGATTCAACGCCGCTCCGCTCCAGCAGTGCCAAGGGTTACCGTGCTCCAGTGCCAGTGAGAACAGTTCTGCTACCCACCAAACTTCAGAGCACCAATTCAAAATGGACCAACAGGGAAAGTACTGCTTTTTCTATGAGCACTTCTTGCTGGATCCCCGATCCGTCTTCGTACGCCCACTGGTAATCCACAAAGAGTGCTTACCATCTACGGACCAACTTTCCCAGTTTGCATCCGTCACTTCTTTTTCCGGCCACATGACCCTGGAATCTCATCCTCGTCGCCATTTTATGTTGTGTGAGTCCACAGAGTCCACAACCGAGTTCTTTTTAATTTAATATTTATATGTCAGCTTCTCCAAGAGATTCGGGAAAGGTGGCAGTGTTTTTGAAAGGAAGAACTCCTACCTTTGGAATCAATAATTATTTAATAGAATATCTAATGCGCTTCACAACTCAGACAGCTCACAACACAACACAGGTTCACAACACAGTTTCACGACACTAGTTCACAACTGGTTCACAACACTGATTACAACACTGGTTCACTGAGCTCACCTAAGCCTAACAGTTGGTGGTCCATGTTCTTTCCTAGGTCCATGAGCGCTCAAGGGCTCTGAGAGGTCTCCGTCCTTCTGCTCGTCCTATGGTCAACTGACTACCCATCCCAGCTGCACCTTCGTTATATAGAAAATGCAGTCGAGGTGGTGGGGACGATTTTCGGCCAATGGGAGGTCACACCGACTCATCCGCCCAACGCTAGCTGTCTTAACGACACCCTGATTTCCGCTGGACAACAAGAGCACAGGATGTTCTTTGTGTCCGTTCCTAGAGCAGCGGATACCAGCATGGTCCAGTCGAGTCGGGGCATTTCTCCCAAAGCCATAAAGTCGCGGAAAATATGGTCGTCAAGCGCCACTACAGGCGAGGGGACAGTGGGTGCACAATGTCACTACAGGCGAGGGGGCGAGGGCACAATACACTAAGATCGTGACGTATGCTTCCTTGTGCTCCCCCCCCCCCTCCCCCCCCGCATCCGCTATCCGCGACAGAGACTCCCACGACCCAGGGCCTATGAATGGCGTCCTACTCAGAACCCTTGATGCGTCACAACACGCACACAGATGCGGGTGATCCCCTTTTTGATTTCAATTACACTGATTACGGGTGATCGCTTTTTGATTTCAATTACAGTGTTGTTGTGTGATTCGACACCGAGCCACACAACAATGCGCACGGCGAGAGTGTGGCGCCGAGCGAACCGAACGCCGGGCTGCGCCAGTGCGGCCATCGGCTTGTGTCTCTCGGACTTCTACGGGACGCCCCATGAGTGCGAGAGAGACAGACGGCCGCACGAGGGCTGGGAGGGCAGTGGTGGGGGTGTACCTCACCGGGACACGTCACACTGTGTACCTCGCGGGGCGGTTTGGACGCCCGCCTGGCCGGCCGTGCACGGAAGCCCGCCGAGGGTGCATGAGAATGAGGGTTCCGGCTGACGGTCCGGCAGGACTGATTTCGCCTCTCCGTCTCTCTCGCACCTACACGGGGCGCGCCGTGAGTGCGAGAGAGACGGAGTGACAAAATCGCTGTTCAGAATCAACCTAGCGGGCAGGGGCGCGCCGCCGCACAGTGGGCCAGAAGACCGGCGGCCAAAACTCTAGAGGCGTTTTGAGCTCCAGAGTCGCTAAATGGGACTCGAACCGAACGGTGACCCCACCGATGGATTCCTCGCTCGGAGAGCAATCCATTGGTGGGGTCACACGTTCGATTCTAGTCCCAGTTGGCGACTCTGGAGCTCAAAACGCGTCTAGAGTTTTGGCCGCCGGTCTTCTGGCCCACTGTGCGGCGGCGCGGACTTGACTCACCATTCCGCGGGTAGCGCGTTCGTCGTCGCCGGCACGCCAGCCGCCTGCTGACATTTCTGTGGGTCAGACAAAAACAGAGGCAATGAGAAAGATGTGACTCAAACACTGTGAGAAAAAAGTACGGAAAAAGTACGGAACATGTCTGGTCAATAATTTGCCTGGACCGACCGTCCGTACTTGCCAACTACGGAACGTTCCGTACCTTTTTTCCGTACCCATTTACATAGGTTCATGAGCAAGTACGGAACGTTCCATACTTTTCTCCGTACCTCCGTACTATATTTTTCTGTACCATTTCCGTACAAAAGTACGGAATTTTTTACAGTGAAGGACGGCGCGGCTCGGCTCGGCCTGTCACGCAGCCGACTGATTGCGGTAGTCGCTTTGGTCGCTCTGTCTCTCTCGCACCTGTAGCGGACGCTCCATGCGTGTGAGGGCGACAGAGCGACGACTCTAGGCGTCAATGTGCACCGCGCAGCGCCACACAATGGGCCAGAAGACAGGTAACGGTGGTCCAAAATCCCGGACGCGTTCTGTGCCCCAGAGTTCGCTAAATGGGACTCGAACCGAACGTGTGACCCCACCAATGGATTGCTCTCCGAACGAGGAATCCCTTGGTGGAGTCACACGTTCGGTTCGAACCCTGTTTAGCGGCTCTGGAGCTCAAAACGCGTCCCTGACTTTAAGCGCCTCCACCCACTGTGCGTCGTCCCAGGGGAGCGCCTGGCGGGCAGGCCGCGCGCCGAGGCCCTGTGCACGCGGGTTGCCTACCCGGCCCAGGTAAGGCGCCCGTCCAGTGTAGGCACGGAGCCTGGCGCGGCGTGGCGTCCTTTCGGCGACGGTAGAAAGCGTTTTGACTTGGACGCCGTGCCGCGCCGAGAGCGCCGAGTCTGTCGGGCGCTTTTCCAGGTCGCCGCATGAGAGGATACAGCGGCTGGCTGCCCTCGGCCTGCTGACTGACTCCGAGAGTCGTCTTCGTCGCTCTGTCTCTCTCGCACCTACACCGAACGCCCCTTGAGTGCGAGAGAGACAGAGCGGCGAAAACGGCTCTCGGAGTCAGTCGGACGGCCCTGCCGGCCCTGCTGCACTCGTGATGGCAAATGGCACACGATTTCCTTCACTCCTAGCAGAGCGTTCCGCGCGGGGTTCTTGACCCCCGCCGCCGTGATACCCTTTCGCTGTAGCACACTGATTCCGAGAGTCGTTTTCGTCCCTCTGTCTTTCTCGCACCAACCCGGAACGTCTCGTGAGAGCGAGAGAGACAGAGCGACGAAAACGACTCTCGGAATCAGTCTGCTGGAGTGACTCCAGCGGCTGCAGCGGCTGCCTGGCGACGATGCGTTGTGGTGGCACGGCCGGGCACGGCGGAGGCACGGCGGAGGCTGGCCTCCTTCTGACCACTACAGTGCACTGCCACGCCGTGGCTACGCCTAGCCGCGCCGCGACGCGCCACGGACCCTGCGGGTTGGGTCCGAGCGAGATAGCTCTCTCTCTCTCACTCGCACTCACGGTGTCCCGAACGGGAGCGAGAGCGACGGGGCCTCTCGTTCGGAATGAACGCCTTGCCGCCGCGCTGCTGCCTTGCGGCTGCACACTCTAAATGTTGTACAGTGAAGATTCGCCATATTATGGTGAAAATGTTCCATATTATGGTGGTGCAGCTGACTTCGCAACATACCATTGAGAATTCACTGTACCTTATAGAGATTTTGACGAATTTCGTTGGTATAATGGAGAAAATCTCCACCATAATATGTTGGTGCAGCCTTTCACCTTCACCGTAAGACATTTACTGTGCAGGCTACCCCGAAGAGTCGTTTTCGTCGCTCTGTCTCTCTCGCTCCTATAGGGGACGCCCCATGAGTGCGAGAGGGACAGAGCGACGAAAAAGACTCTCCTCGGAATCAGTCCGCAGGCTGAGATAAGTGCGCCAAAACTGTTTGTGTCCAGTGGACGTCCAGGCAGTCAGCTGGTTCTTGCCACACCGCAGGCTGATTCCGAGCGCTGCTCTCGTCGCTCTGTCTCTCTCGCACTCTTGGTGCGCCCCGTATAGGTGCGAGAGAGACAGCGTCGAAGGCGGTGGCGAGTCCACTCTGCCGCTCTCTTTTCCCGGCTCGCTTTCGTCCGTGCTCCAGTGCGAACAGTGCCGCGGCGTCCCACAGTGGGCCAGAAGACCGGTGGAGGTGTTGGCCTCTCTCGACGCGTTTCGAGCTTCAGAGTCCCTAAACGGGACTCGAGCCGAACGTGTGACCCCACCAATGGATTCCTCGTTCGGAGAGCAATCCATTGGTGGGGTCATACGTCCGGTTCGAGTCCCATTTAGCGACTCTGGAGCTCAAAACGCGTCGAGAGTTTTGGCCGCCTCCACCGGTCTTCTGGCCCACTGTGCGTCCCCGGCAGAGCTGGCAGGCAAATAAGCTAATCCCCCGCTGGGCTGGTCAGCAAACTGATTCCGAGAGTAGGTTCCGTCGCTCGCTGTCTCTCGCACAAACAGGGGAGGCTCCATGACAGCGAGAGAGACAGAGCGACGAGAACGACGCTCGGATTCAGTCCGCAGGGGCCCGGCTCGCGTCACAGCGCGTCACCGCCGCATCGCGGCAGTGTACTACACGGGGCTCGCGAGCACGGGGTGGACGGAGGCGGTGGGCGAGGGGGGCGGGCGTCCTGAGGGGGCAGGGGAGGGGGAGGGCTGCACGCCTGTCGCGTCGTGGGCTAGCTAGCTCAAAGCGATCGTGGCTCGGCAGTGAAACCTAAAAGACGAAAACAACCCCCCACATATGTTTTCCCAGAAAAATTCCGTCCACCGCTGGGCGACGTGGTTCGTGGTAATTGCTGTGTTCTCGGATAATTATCAGGAATGGATCCAGAGACCGGAGGGGAGGGCCCGAACGGCACGTTGTGGTCTAGCCTCTCAAGTTCAAGTTCAAGGGGGTCCATGAGAGGGTTCAAAAGTTGGCTACCTACGCAAAGTGCAGCTCATTGCCTATCTCGGATTAAGTCCCTTTGTTCTGGTGATCAACATTGTTCGATAGGCTGACGAGTCCGATAGCTGCAATCGGAAAGTCCATACCTACAACCAAAAGCTGGTTGCTACGACCAGACACGAGGACAACTGTGCTGGGGTTTGTTACGCTCTTACAAGTGTCCGGGTGGCAACCAGCTTTTGTTTGTTCGAGGTATCGACTTTTTGATTGCAGCCATCGAATTTAGCCAATCGAACAGAGTTGATCACCACAACAAAAGATTTTTTCCGTGATACGCTTCAGGCGGGAGCGACGCGCCCTTCTCCCCCTGGATCCGTGCCTGATAATTATGAACAACTCGATGGAATAATAACAAAGAGTGAGGCAGGAGGTTCAACGGTTCAACCCCCTCCATCGCCGTCCTCCTCTACACTGTATGCATCCCGACCTTCCTCACCGACTCAAAGTCGAATCTGGGTTTCGCGGCCGCGGCCGATTCGGCGCCCCGCAGCATAATGACGATTTGTTTTTTGTTTTTTTTTTTCGATTTTTATTTTAAATTCTCTCTTTTTAGTGTGTGGGTCGGTCTGGGCGGTTTTGGTGGTGGCCGGCTTGTGCCTTGTTGATCCGACCGGACCAGACCAGACCACGCCAGACGGACCCAAAGACACAGAAACACAGGCAGCGGCGTGACGCGGCCAGGTGGAAGAGGAAAGGAAAACGATGTGGATGTGACTGACCCTCCTCCGCGTCGATCAGATGTGCGTTTCTAATTTTACTGAAACCTTTTTTTTTTTCTACTGTCCGAACCGTTGGGCTGGTCGGGGACTCGGCCTGTGGTGGCACACTGCGGGGCACCCAGTCTTTAGCCTCGCACCAAGGCCCGCGACTAGCCTTATTGCACTTCTAGCCTCTCACCGAGGAGCCGAGCCACTCTGCCTATAAACTGGTCCCTTTTGCATCGACGCCACCATCGCGTCGTCCGCTGGTATGGTAATAATAAAATGGCTAATGAGACGCTGGGGTAATTATGGTGATGATTGCCCAACACACACACGCACACACACACACACTGAAGCTTTTCGTGCCAACAATCATCCTCGAAAGATCATTCGCAGTGGGCTAATAAAGAATGCGAGGAGCGTTCAATAGGCCTGGTCTATTCCGTCAGCCGCGCGTCACGGCAAAAAAAGAGTCGTCTTTGAATCCAAGGGGAGGCCTTGCATTCGTTTCCTAGCGGTTACAGTGCGAATTCTCAAAGTTGTCCAAAGTGACGACAATCGTCTTATTTCGACAGCGAACAAACACGGTTTGGATGGGAACACTGCAAACCTAACTGTCTACTAAGTACACACTTACAAATGCATGCTTGCAAGTACACACTTGCAAACGCATGCTTGACGCCGTATAACTCCATGCGTCAAGCATGCGTTTGTAAGTGTGTACTTGCAAGCACGCATTTGTAAGTGTGTACTTAGTAGACAGTTAGGTTTGCAGTGAAATGAAAACAGTGATCGAACTTGAAATGTAACCAATCGCTCTGTCCTCTCGCACCCTTATGGAGAGCGCCTATGAGTGTGACAGAGACAGAGTGGCGAAACTCTTCTGAGGCGCTCGTTGGCTGTCGCGCTGTACGGTGTGGCGGCGTTCACGCGGCGGCCGAGTGGTGTCGCTTTGAAAGGGGGCCTCTAGGGCGAGCGCGGCTCGGCACCGCACAGTGCGCCTGCAGGTGTGTGAGTGTGTGTGTTAGAGAGAGAGAAATAGAGAGAGAGAGAGAGAGAGAGAGAGAGAGAGAGAGGGAGGGAGAGAGAGAGAGAGAGAGAGGGAGAGAGGGAAAGAGGGAGGGAGGGGAGCTGCCGCCTCAGACAGCGCGGCGCTAGGCAAACGGGCCGGCGGCATTGCACAGTCCAGTACAGTAGCGGAAACTATTGCCCGGGATGGCTTTGTGCACGCCACTGCACGTGCCGCCGCCTGTCCACGTGTGTGTGTGTGTGTGTGCGTGTGTGTGTGTGTGTGTGTGTGTGTGTGTGTGAGCGCGCGTGTGCACCTTTGCTCCCCGCTTCGTCTGGCTTCTCCTCTGTCTCCTTCTGATA